TATAAAGTTTAAATCAAAGGCACATCAAGAGGATTAAATATTGCTACAAACAGGCAGCCATACTTTAAGAGAGCTAGGTAGACTATTGTAAATGATAGCTCCAGAATAATAAAACGTTTTCTTGGCTAATAAAATAATAAAACGTTTTCTAAGCTAATAAAATTACGAGAAAACTGACATCGTTCTATATTTGAAAAAACATTGAAGATTTAAAGCATACAAATTAGATTTTTCTACTAATACAGCAGATTTCTTATTACTGTGAAAATCGTGCGTGACCGTGACCGAGACGTTACCAGTTTTAAGCATTTTCATTGGATGAGCACTGACCTCTCACGCTCTGATTGTTCAAATACCGACAACTTTATACCGTTACAGTGCGGGTGTGTAGCGTGACTTTTCACACGGTCAAACCAATGACATATACACCGTTTACACTAGCGATTTTTTTGCGATTTTGTCCATAATAAATAATGGTAAAAAATTTACTTGTAAAGTTTTTTTTAGGATACCAAGATTTTCCTAGACGAATTTCTCTTTTGAAGGATGAGACAAAAGATTTCATATTTCCGAAAATTGACACAAAAGTCGCCAGTGTAAACGGGGCTTTATGTCTGTTGTCATGGCCACCATGTTGGTTGAATTTAACAAAAAAATGTCATGAGCCTGCCCTGTTACAGTTAAACAACATGGCGACCATGTCCTTTCTTTTCTGTCCCATTCCCTTTGAAATGATTGCAAGCTACATATTATGTTACATTGCTTTCCCCGATGGCTGTGACTATGAAGATCAGCACGTACATGGAGCATTACTCGTAAAACTGCACATTTTATCTCAAATCCGAAAAAACATGCTCAAACGGATTTGGAAAAATATACACGTTCCACATTGCCTATTAAGATCAGCACGTACATGAAGCATTACTAGTAAAACTGCACATATCTTAGATCCGAAAAAACTTGCTAACACAGGTTTGAAAACTAAACACGTTCCGCTGACGTAACTAACATATGTGGAGCTAGAGAGACGCCTGTGGTTTTTGACCCCTTTTGGCTTTGCTCATACAACAGTACGAAACAAGACGTTACAGACAATAGCTGACAGGGCTGAATACTGGAAATCAAATTAGTGCTTACCTATTGCTGGCAAAAGGTCACTTATGTACTTTATTCTCTTTGACAGGCTGTTATAGCTGAACTAAGTTTCTATTTACTTTGAGATCGACTCATTCTTTTACTCCTAACCTTGCCAGGTCTTACACTAAAGTTTACTCGATATTTATGATAACCCCTTTCTATGACGTAGTTGGGAAATTTGCCCAAGTTTATACTCCCAGTCTAGCGCTTCATGCATTATATGATTCAGACTGATTTAATAAGATGAGATCTTTTTTAATCAAGGTTAAGAACCACTTGCCATAGATTTAACGGGTTTTTTTTTACGATCGAGATCTTTGTTTGTTATTTAGGTACGAATCTATGTGAGAAATATAATCTTCCACTCACTAAAGAAATAACATATGAATATAAGATTACTTCTCTCGCGACCCTAACGATATAACCGGATATCAATACCTAAGTACATCATCTTGCTATCCAGAATTCTGTTCGTTCTCGTACGTGTTTCTTGGCACAGAAAAAAGCATTTTTGTAATGACACATAAAAGCACTTTTTGCAGAAAAATACACATTAAATGAGAATATTTTTAAAGTTTGGAGTTATAAACAACACTAGAACGTAATTTTATTAAATCGATTGTATGAAGATTAAGCTTTCATCAGCTTTTCCTTCTAGAGATTATCTGTAAATTCTTCAGCATTTACTGGTTATTTTGTTGAATATACAAAAAGCTGACGATAAAAATCTCAAAGAGAATAAATTATTTGAAATAATACACGTGGGAAAATGTCTCTCAAAAAGTCGAATAAAGCGAGCGAAAATAGATAAAAACATTTGATAGTCCTTTAAAAAAACTAAATTTTATTAAGTACTATTAAAATGTGTCCGCTTCCTTTAATTTGAGGAATTAGATAATTGGATACTTGAAATACAGCTTTGATACCAGTTATGACAAGTAAACGAAGATAGATCTCGATTAATATTACCACGATATGCCAGGGCGTGGCCAGGGAGAAATTCATTTTCAACGGACAACAGTTGAATATACCTGAGAGAACTAGCAATAACCATATTCATCATGTCAGTTTTTATAAGACTGAAAAAATCTCGTGTTTATTAAACTGAAAACTGTTTTTTCATCCTAGGTATCCCATGCACCATTGCATCTAGGGGCTGTGACGTAACATTCACTGAGAGTGGTCGCTCAAGCATGATGCGTAGCAGAGTGCTTCTCGACACTTCTCGAGTGTTCTGTCAATTCCCAAGTGCTTTATGACTGCACAAACCACAGCAAGCAAGTTTTTTATTTCTTTTATAAAACATAGAAAAACCGTTATTTTAGATAGGAATAACGCAACTAAAAGTGAGCGCGCGTGCGTTGTGCTCTCATAAAACACGCGCTCTCAACCAATCAGAAAGCGACATTTATAACAGTTATTTTATAATAATAATAATAAATGCTATCCACGCAGTGTCGTAAGTGACCCCTTTAGTTGTCTACCTTTTTGTTAAGAGTAGAAACTTGTGGGATAAAAACAAACATTTGCTGATAGTTATTGCGATAACCCAGTTCAATAATGTACGTAGCTAACTATTGACATTAACTTCAGAACAAATAGATTCTATTATTATCGTAGCATTATGATCTTCACCTTGGCTGGCATTGGTTTTGATGTTAAAAACGTTATTCACATAAGCGCCTAGTAATCTCTCCGTTACAACTGTACAATAGCAAGACTCGTGATGTTTTGATTAACAGATTAATCCCTGTAAAGCTCTTAATCTAGGACATCCATAAGGAAAGAAAGCCATAAGAAATAGAAAATCAAAGCGTCCTAATCATTGAAAGACAAAGATGTAATTGTAACAAGACCTTTACAAGAAAAAACTTAAATTTGTAACAAAAAGTAAGTGAATGACAAAACATTTCTTCTTACTGGACGTTATCGTGTAATAAGCTCTATATTTTCTCGAATAATATCCAAATCCCCAGAAGTCAATAATAACTAATCCCAAGCTAGCTTACTGTCTAAAACACCGATCTCGTCTATAAAGACGTCTTCCCGACTCGAGCCTGAGATTTTCCCGCGAAATAATCCCCGCCAGATTTAAATACCTATAGAACTGTGCAAATCGAGTTAACTAAAATGCCATTGAGATACCAGAATGTCTTGAATCAAAAACGTTCGTTATAACAGACGATTGAAGACCAGTTTTCTTAAGACTTAAGTTGGTTCAACGGGGTCACAGATTTCTACGGCAAGTCGTTCGCCGGGAACAGATTGTGGACCACACCGATTTGTTTTTCTCTTTTCCTTTCGTTTTAATCCTTAAAGGCCATAAACAAAGCGTGAAAGTGTATTCGTATATTATTGTCTTATGAATTCGCCTAGGAATGTTATCTTTGTTCATGTTAGGTTGCTTGCAGACGATTTAATACATGACTGATTGTCATAACAATTTTTAAAAGATAAAAAGATAAGTGACTTTACTTAAAATCCCGATTAACGCTCGGAAACATGATTTCCTTTGTACAAGCAGGACAAAGCGGTATTATTATAATCCATTAGACAGAGATTATTGAGACTAGCGACCGGTTCATTCAAATAAAAGCGATTCACATATACAAAGCCCTAAGGTCAGCAAAACAAAAAAGGTATAATAGGTATAATAATCCAAGATAACCAATATTTAAAATATGTATATATGAAAATATATCACTCCTGGAAGAGTTCAGCTCTGTATTCATTCTATATTTAGGTAGTATGATGAAAATACTTTAGTTTACTTTGTTAAATCAGCACCAATGCTCAATATTTATCGCACAAAACATTAAATAACTAAATATGGAATTCTTTTACCACGTCATTCTCCCAGAACAATGTTACTTTATTTCTTTGCAGTGTTAACTTGGGGGCCTTCTATTTAACAAAATATAAAATGATGGTTAAAAAAAAAAAATAGAATGCTTATTTTAATTAGTGGCCTCTGGCATGGGCTAAAGGAAGAATATGGCTACGGTCTACAGTGTCTTACCGGAACATCATTCAGTGAGCAATATAAGAAAAGGATTTTACTTCTAAGCATGCCAAATACCATATAAAATTCAACAATTTTTAAAAAAATCTTTGGTTGATTGTCTTATTAGATGAAGCTCATTTTTGCCCTAGTGTACATAGTAAAACAAAGGGCTTGTACAAAAGATTGACAAGGACTAGACAGTTACAATGGTTCTTGTGATAATATTAGCTAAAATGCTACCTTGGGATATTAAGCAATATCAACTCGATGCCAAGGCAGAGGGATTTGTTTGTTTTTTTGAGTAAACGGTACTGATCTAAGAAGCAGACTTTTGGTTGTCAAAAAGTGTGTAACGCGATGAAAGAGAGAACACTGACCGCGAAGTCACACTCTTGGACTGTCATGACGACGTGATTCAAATCCCCTCAATGACTCGCATCCTCCTCTTCAAAAACTACCAAACTAGAACTAACAACAAACGAAGGATCTACATGAAATAATCAGCCAGCAAGAAACTAAAATATAGATCTATTTGTCGAAATAACTGAGAGTTTTATTCCTATCCGATATTCCATGGTGTTATAACATTCCTAAGCTGTAATCCTCTTTTACGCCCCGAATCATGGTTTAAAGTTAAAAAGGTCGAATAAAGTAAGCCATTCAACAATGCGCTTCATAAATGCCAGCCAGCATCAGCAGCAATCGACATGAAATCGAACGCATGGTGTTTCTAATATCGATTAGTATTGTGCTGGGTTTCAGGACATTCAGTACAAACATAAACAGTTTTAACATCCTAAAATTCCAATACTATAAATTTGCGGCGAGTAAAAGCCGGAGTCTGAGAAAAATGCGGCGAATTTGACCGAGTTTCTTCTCGAAATCGTTAATGCAATTACCTCGATTAAGATAATTGTACTTGGGTTGATTCTTTAAGAGAGAATAACTTAAATACCTGATTCTTGAGCTCAGTTTCTTGAGCTTCAACTTCTTTCAATGTAGACATGTCTACAGCTTTGATCAGTCAGGCTTTTTGCAAGGAGATAACAAGCTGGCTTGTAGTACTGTAGAAACTTTCCTCGATGCAGCACCCCGGTCAAGACGACGCGACTTCTATCTTAATGTTCACTCGCGCTTTAGTCTCCCGGGAACCCTAGCAAATTATCTGATGGACTTGATAGACTTGTACAAAAGCTATTACGAGAATGCAAATCAGTTGTTATGTTTAGTTTTGTACCGCTTTGAAGTTCCGAAGAATTGAAGTTAATCAGCCGTATAGGCAAATAAGAGGCCAGCACTGGTTTACTTTGTGACGTCATAGTGACGACACAACGACTATTGATTGATTGACTGAACTACTTGTCTCTATGGTCTGGGACAGATGGATCGGAAACTTCCATAAGCGTACGTTTGCTAAGTAAATTGTACTTTTACTTTGATAAAAATCAGTGATTTCCTTAAGCGAGGAAGGTTAGCCAAAACATAGAGAGGTGTTGTACAGTTAAAGGCCAGACTACTGCCCCTCCGAGTCGACTGCCTCGAGAGACACATGTATAATAGTCAAGTGGTGAAAGTTTGCTCTGTTAACTAACAAAGGATGTGATTAACAATTAAAAATAAATTTGATGATCAGCGAAAAAAATAATCTTGCTAAAAACTCCACAGAAAAACTGAAGAAAACTGATACTCTTGTTTAAATCATGCTCATCTCGTACCGAGCTCAAAAAACGAGGGAATTTCCGAGTCTTGCCGAGATATCCTTCCAAATCCCGCTTAAAAGATTTTTTCAGACACAAAATTAATCGTGAATTTTAACCATTTAAAAATCGATTGTCTTTCATTTCTACTTGCACTCCTTCTATAGTTTTTCCATCTTTTAAAAGGATGTTTAAATCATGCTCATCTCGTACCGAGCTCAAAAAACGAGGGAATTTCCGAGTCTTGCCGAGATATCCTTCCAAATCCCGCTTAAAAGATTTTTTCAGACACAAAATTAATCGTGAATTTTAACCATTTAAAAATCGATTGTCTTTCATTTCTACTTGCACTCCTTCTATAGTTTTTCCATCTTTTAAAAGGATAACATATACTCTTAATACTTACAATCCAGTTGCGAGATTTCTTTAGTTTCTGCCTCCCAAATTGAAAATAACCTGAATGCTCCGACAAAACACGATCTAGCTATAGTTTGATATCATCTATTGACATAAGAAGATTTTTCCTATTATGATTTGAAAAATTTCCCTTTCGTTTTAGCTTGGTCACAAGGTCGTCATCTACCAATCAGTATTACGCCATCTGTAAGTAACGTCACTGCTTTGTTTGTTCTTGTCGCTATTATGTACACCTTTTGCTGTTCATTAACAGAAAATGTACATTCATTTGTGCCAATAGTTGTATCAATAACGTGTAATGTACTTTCATCAACACCACA